CGTGGCACTCCCGGGCGCGGCAGGCGCGCGGGGCTGGGTCGGCCTGGCGCCGACCCCACCACCACTACCTCCCCGCAGGGTCTCCAAGCTCCGCATCCGGCTTTCTAATCTCTGGGCTGAGACTCCGTGGCAGCCTCGGGCAAATTAATGGCCCCTTCCTCCTGACCCCTGACCCCCAGAAGCGTGCAGACGCGCCATCCCATAGCCTCCTGGGATGCGTGGGCCCCGGGGGGGGGGCATTTCTCTTACTACCCTCACCTGTGAGAGCTGTTTAGCGAGCGAGCTCGTGAGCAACCTTGCCTAACACCTTTTCAGCGAAGGGACGTGATTCCTGCAGTATGGCATCCTTGCCCTCTCATCGCCCCTGGGTTCTCACTGATGTTCGCATATCCTTTTATTCACGTTGTGTTCATCTCCCCATCCTTTGCCCAACACTCAGAAAACCTTCTGCTGATCTCTCAGGCCTGTGGCATCGCTGTCTTCTTCTTGCTCTGGTGACCCACTTCCTACTGTGCTGATAAGAAAGAGGACATCCTTTATAATTACATTTACATAAAATTCTAGAAAATGGAAGCTAATTTATGAAGACAAAAAGCAGAAAGTTGTGACTGTTGTTTTTTCTTTCAGTGCTTTAAAAATACTCTTCCACAGCCTTCTGGCTTACGTTGTTTTTGATGATTCTTATCATTGCCCCAAATATATTATGCATCTTTTTTCTATGATTGCTTTTAAGACTTTATCTTATTTTAAGGTCTAAAGTAGTCATTACCGGAGGGGTAGGGTGGCCCTTCTAAGGCATGACATTTCTTGGGTCTCAACTAAATAACCAGAGTATTTAGTCTCTCTGTTCTGGTTGTTAGGCACTCCAACATCTTTGTTGGAAAAGCTCTGAATTTGCTTGGCTTACCTCTCTCAGTAGCTGTGGTCAGCCAAGCATTGCAGACCTCGGCCTGCCGAAACACACGAGGGGATGCCTCCACAAACATTTGGAGCTCTGTCACTGCGTAGTTCTCTCTTTCCAATTTCTTACGCACAGTTCTAACCACTTCAGCAGCCCTGAACTCTGATCTTGGGTTTCTCTGCCCAGCAGGGCTCCTGCTGTTTGGGATTTACTCCCCTGCGCCACACTTTAGGACGCGCCCCAAGAGAAAGCTGGTGTGAATGCCGAGCGCTCCCTACTACATGTTCTCCTCTCCCAAGGATCACAGCCGCACATTCTCTCTTGTCCGGTGCCTGAAAATGGTTGACATGGGGGAGGGTGTAGCTCAAGTGGCAGAGCACATGCTTAGCACGCATGAGGTTCTGGGTTCAATCCCTGGCATCTCCTCCGAAAATAAATAAGTAAACTTAATTACCTTCTGCTGCCAAAAAAAAAATTTTTTTTAATTTAAAAAAAAGTTGATTTATATATTTTACCTAGTTTATAATTGTTTGTGGTGTGATACCAATTATTCCACCACGGCCAGAATCAGAATCAGTTGTCCAGGTTAGTTTTCTATGTAACTGACACTTAATCTTCCAACACAGGCATCTACAAAAACAGTAAAGATTTTTGATAGAAATTGTTGTAAAATATAATATGTATTTTTCCTGACTTTTAAAATCAAACTTTAAATACAATTTAACTCTTTACCAAGAAATTAGTCACAGTTACAAATAAAACTTGTCATATCATGCTGTGCACACTGATGCTCTTAAGAGCTCTTGAAGAGACCTTGACACTTATAAATAAATGAATGAACTGCTACTAAAGTTTGTTTAGCACCTCCCTCCACATGAGTGTCTTCCCTGTCCATCTTCATTCCCTATTCATTTTCTTTTTCTTCCAGTTGACCTTTGGAAACCTAAGTTATCTCTCTTACTTTAGTTTATACACAGCATGAAATATAAATCTACTCCCCAAATTGCAATTATTTGGCACACTCTAATGCTTAATACAACTGATTTTTGTTTTTATCTCTTATTTGGAATTGTCTCCTCCATCGTTACAGATCATGAAACTGTTGTATGCAGCCCTTTTGCTTCATCTGTAAAATAAAATAAATAAACTGACATGGTTATGAGAAATATGACCAAAATAAAACCAAATAATGATATTCATAATTATTATAATCACAAATACAGCTAAATATATCAAGGGCCAACTATTGCTAGTCTCTATTCTAAACATCTTACGTGATTTAAACTCACTTGCTCCTCCAGCAAAGCTATGATGAGTGTCATATTAGTATCTCCATTCTACAGCTGAGGAAACTAGCATACAGATAATTTAAGTAAATTACCCAGGATTAATGCTACCAGCAAGCAGTGAAGTTAAGAGTCGAACACAGGCAGACTCAGGTGATTGAAAACTGCCTTTACACACGTAACTGTTTTTTAAATACTGAATTTAAAACTTTGCTTCTGAATCCTAAGAGGCAGTATTGACTAAACAAACAGAATGTTTGGCTGATCTTCACACTAATTTAAAATCCAGCCTGGGTTCCAGAGATGTTTCCCCCTTCAATTTAACTTAATTACATCTGAAGCTGTTGAGACATCCACCCATCCCCATCACACTGATCATGGCAGCTGTCACATTAAAGCAATCGAATCTACCACCCTCAAGTCATGGCGACAAATAAGCCCTCCCTCTCCTTTAACTGTGACTTTCACTCCAGAGGTTGCCTTATCTCTCTCCTTCCATTCACAGCCAAGCTGGCATGCTTTTCAGACCCTATCTTCCTGGGTTTTCTCCTTCACTTGCCACTGTTAACCACTTCCTGCTTCTTTAAACACTCTGTGGCCCACTGTGGTCCTCTGCCTCTGTCCTCGCTCATTCTTCCTCTTTGGATCTTCTTTCTCATTTCGTGCTTTATATTTACTATAATCTATATGACTGTTCAGTATGTCTGCCTCTCGATCACAATTTTGAGCTTTCTGAACACAAGCATCAGTGCATCTTCTCCCCCTATTCCTCCACCCCCACCTCAACCTGGCAGGATGCCAGGCAAGGAGAAGCTACTCACAAATGGTGTTTAATGTTACTTGAAACAGCTGCCATTAAGAACGTTGGCAGGTAATCCCGTAAAGACTCCTTGGGGGTGGTAAAGATTCCTATTCCAGGAAAATCATGGATATTACTATCAAGGGGAGTTTT